CACACTGTTGCCCAGCACTTCCTAAAAGTGTTTTTGCTGTGAACCTTTTTCTGCTCCATTTTGAAATCAATACTACTATTTAAAGTAGAATTGTTTTTGCAAATATTTAAGCCCCACCCCTGTTTCAGCCTCTTTCTCTTTTAGTATGTTGTCGAAGGCTTTCACAGCTGGAGTTCATTAGTTGCTGTAGATTTCCCAGGTTTTGTGGCTGTGGTCTTGGCATTGTAGTACCTGACATTTTGCCAGCAGCTGTGACTAGCATCCTCAGAGGTATAACACAGAAAGATGGAGTACTCTCTGTGTCAATGTGAGAAGAAGAAAAAGAATGGTAGGCTTTATATCTACTCAGAAAGGTGGGGTAGGGCTGACTCATTATCTTGTAGGAGTTTCCCAGGCTGTGATATGCTAATGGAGGAGCTTTCCTGAGGAGGTTCTTTTGCATATGGATTGGCTGTTGAAATTCTAACCTTATCTGCAATGCTGTTGTAAGATGTAGAGCATTTTGTGTTTTTCAGGATTGGAAACCATGCCCTATTTATTTTTAAACTCTCTTCTTTCCTGTTGAAATTGTGTTTATGTTTATGAATTTCAATAGCTTCCCTGTGTAATCTGACATTGTAATTGGATATGTTGTCCAGCATTTCAGTCTCTTGGAATAAGATACCGTGTCCTGTTTGAGTTGGGCTATGTTTAGCCACTGCTGATTTTTCAAGTTGGCCAAGTCTGTAGTGTCCCTTATGTTCTTTTATTCACCCCTTCAAAAGACAGAAGAGACCCCCTCACTTCTGCAGGAGTATACTGCATATCCGGCAGTTGTGGACAGGTTTACATCGGGACCACACAACGTAGCATCCAGATAAGAATAAAATAAAGAATATAATAAAAAAATGAAATAAAATAAAAAACAAAAACACGGCGTATATGCAAGGACAAAGCATGGGTAATCTGTGTAGCCTTGGCCAAGTCAGACAGGTTTCCCCACCTACCTGCAAAGCATTCCAACAGGTTTGCCTTAACGGTACCACCAATTTGCCAACCCTGTTATTCTGAAATATTTGGATTGTCTCCCTAATAATTTCATTTCTGGTTCCAGATAAACCATGTAACATTGAGGAGCATTATACCTGTTTCCAGAGCAGAGGGTTTGTTTTTGTTTTTTTCACAAGTTGCGGGAGAATGCTGTGATAGTGATACATCGGAACGGAGGAAAGATGGACTCCAAAGACTCCTCTGATGCAGATTTGCGAGAACGGAAGAAGT